ACAGGTCTCCACTTCTGTTCTGGCAACCAAAGATTGACTCCTTTCTTCCTTGGTTTTCCTGAAGAATGTGACTGCAAATCAAGATGCTTGGGATGGGAAAAGCATCCATAACCCCTCTAACTGTATTTGGAAATCTCAACTCTAATACTTGCCATGCAGACAGATCAGATCTAGAGCCAGCACATACCATTGTATTGAATATTGTCATCACTGTATTGAATATTGTCATCTTGAACACAGAAGTGAAAAATGACTCTGCCTTTTCACACTTCTTCCTGTTTTCCCTTATATAGAGATATATAGATATATGTATTTTGTAAATGGTATGTTGGTGAGAGACTACTAATGTAGTTAGAGCATTCATGTGCAAACCAAACTGCCCCTGTAACTCAAATTAGAGTTATACTGTGTTAGTTATACTGTGCTTGATATAGTATTTATTTCTGTGATATTTCAGCCTTCTGGAATTCTTTTTAGTCCTTTATCATTGTTGCCAATATTTTCTATTATTCTCACACTCACAGCTTATCAATAGCCTGTGTACACTGATAGAATATCCTAAATATTGCTCAAGGTTTCTCCTTTCTCCAGTTGTGCATGGGCTGATCCATAGCTCTGGGAATCCACAAGTGTCCAGGGATGGTTTTTGCCTGAGTTTCAGATTGACAGCAAGGCCACCTGCTCCATCCCACAGCCCTTCATCTGCTCCATCCCACAGTCCTTCATGTGCTCCATCCCACAGTCCTTCATGTGCTCCATCCCACAGCCCTTCATCTGCTCCATCCCAAAGCCCTTCATCTGCTCAGTCCCACAGTTCTTCCTCTGCTCAATCCCACAGTTCTTCCCAACCTTTCCCTGTGGAAGTGCCACTCAAAAGGAGCAGTGTCAAGGAAACCTCCCCCCCTCTTTCAGCTGCTGAAAGCTCTGCCTGAGCTTGAGGCACTGGAGGATTCTGGGACTCCCAGTTGTGCTCTTCCCTGTAATCAGCCAGAAGAAGGGCTTTGAAAGGCTCCAGAAGGAATTGCTGAGTGTGACTGGCCCCATCTGCCCCCAAAGCACGGGGCTGAAGGAGGATGAGCTGCAGGAGGATCCCTCAGGCAGCGCAGCTGACAGGTGAGTGCCACAGCTGGCAAACAATTCCTTGCCACAACCAGTGTATTTCTGCTCTTAATATTAAAAAGTATGTCAGAATTTCCATTATAAACCACTTATTTTGTGGGTTTATAGCTTTGCCATAAAAATACACCTTGGCTTGAGCCTTGGCATGCAGCCACTTGGCTTCTTCCAGCACAATATTAATTCAGAACATCCAGACAGTGTTTTTAAACACCAGTATCTGAAAAGTTGTTGCTTCTTTTTTTTTTTCTCTCTTTTTTTTTCACAAGTGCCTTGTTTTTCTGCAGGAATCAAAGGGGGCCAGATGGAATTGCAACAAGAATCTGCAACATCTGGAAGCCCTTTCTGGAAGGACCGAGACCTGTGATAAGAAAGAAAGGTCTGGGGACATCTATGGAATTCTCAGGCCGGATGGGAAGGCTGGAATCAGACCTCCAAGGCTGAATGGCAAGGTCACTGTCTGGTCCAGCAATCTGACTGCCATCACCCAGGAATTACCACAAAACAGCAGAAAGGAAGAAAGTTTGGCTCAGATGAAGATAGAAGCTAAAATATTAATTTTGGAGCAAAATTAAAGACTCTTTGGTCACGTTTGAAGTATAACAAAATCACTGCCAGTCAGTGAGATAAGAAATGAGGAGGAAAAGACATACTTGTAATTTGAAATTTAAAAATAGTCTGGTGGGATATTTTAGATCAACTTCAAAACTAACAAAACTTCTACTTCTGAGCCGGGGGCTTTGGGAGGAACACATCTGGTCCTTTCAAATCCCAGCCCTGAGGAAGGGCTGGAAAGGTGGGCAGAAAGTGGAGCTCCTGGCAGCCAAACCCTGTAAGTCAAGGTTTGTAAAAGGAGTGATGGAAAGGGACAGTCCTAATCTGATCCCTACCCTCGCTCTACAATTAGGAAAAGTGATAATCTTCGTTTGTAAGACAAGGAAAATTGGCAACTGGGAAAAAAAATAAAGGAAGTAGTTCAGTTTAATATTAGACTTATGAAAAAATTGGTCATAAAAGCTGTTCTGAGGCTGGCCAGGACAGAGCCTCAGAAATGTCTAGGGAATGTTCTTCAATCAGTTCAGGGAATGTGAGGACATGAAGCTGAAAGTGCTGAGCTCCAAGGAATGAGGATAAAGCTCAAAGCTTTTCTCTAGATTTGAGCAGTTTACTTTTTGAATGTATATTAGGATCTGTGAAATGAATGGAATAAAGTCCCCTTTCTCCAACTGGAGTTATTGGACAAGGTGGGACTGGAAAAGAATAAATTGGGCTCAAGCAGGGAGAGTGACTGCTGGCAGACATGGAGCTTTCCAAAGGTGGGAAACTGCTTTAGAGAATTCATCCTCCTCTGAGCAAGAAATGTAGCTAAAATGATGGATAAGCTATGGGAGGATTTGGAGTTCATTATGACTGGTAATAGAGTAATACATGCTGGAAGTGTTGTCTTACAAATTAAATCCCTGGAAATGTTCTTTAATTAAGTGGCCCAGGTGAAGGAGAGAGTCTGAAGATAACTGATTTGGAGTGAGGAGATTTTCCTGCTCCAGCACTCAACTACTCCAGCAGCTACTGCTTGAGTATCTTTTTACCAAAATAAAGGTTGGTGTGGTGGGAATTGTATTTTAAGAGCCAAGCATTTACAGAAAGTTTGGCTGCTGGTTCTGAAGGGAATGATGATTTTCTCTTGCACTAAGAAATCTAAATTCTAAATTAATTTTAATGGAGAGCCTGGCACCTGCAGCACTTCGAGGATGGGAAGGAACTGTGGTCCAGCATGTCTGGATCAGATTAACTCTCTCTAGATGGTATCTTGGTACAAAGTAAAACATTGAAATGTGAACTGATGTATTTACAAATGGTCTGTAATACACTGAAAGTCATCAACCTGACATGAATTCCAAAGGCAAGTGGATCACTGGAAGCAGAAGTGATTAATTGTGAGTACACAGCCAGCCAGGGAATGGTTTCACAGACAAAAGGAAGATGGAGGCAGGGCAGTCTTGTCCAGCTCTCCAGACAGTGGCACTCAGGTAAAGGTTTCTGGGGGTTTTTAAGCATTTTTTTTAAGGATTCCTCCTACTATTTCAGGCAGATTTTCTTGTGGCTTTGATAATATTTTAAAACTGCTGCAGGAGTTTGGTGAGAAGGAAACCATTTCAGTGGCTGGCACAGTGTGATTTAATGTTTTCAAAACTGTTTTTTTTTTAAAAAAACCCTCTTGTAACTGCTCCCATTTTCGCCTCCCCACGTTTCAAACACCTCCCAGGCTGGACACAGATGCTCATGCTCGTGGTCTGGGGGCAGCACTGACAGAGGAAATCAAAGGATTGAGGGGCTGGTGGCTTGTTACAACCAAACATTTGTGTTCTCAGGAGAGAAATTAATATTCTGCTCAAAGAACATCTGACAGTGGTTAAATCTGGAGAGCGCTTTCGCTGTCGTTTTCTTGGAGAAGGATATATGGGTTGGACAAATCCTCGGCACTCCGGAGCGTGGAAGGGGGAATGTTGGGCTTCCATGGGGTGGGACAGGCTCCAGAACAGCTTTATCTGCAGAGCAGCCTTGGAGGTTCATCTCTAATGCTTCCCTATCCCAGAACATGAGGACCAGGGAAGTAGGAGTTTGATCCCCAGTTGTCCAAGTGGCTCTCCTGGAAGTCTGTGTTCCCTCGGGATGGGGAGTTGGAGCAGTGGGCAAAGACATCCTTTTACAGGATTCCTGCTGTGCACAGAGTTATGGACTTTGTGTTGTTAAAATCCACAGTTGTACTGAGGAAACACATGGCTCTGTCCTCCATTATTCTCTCCTGACATAAGTATGTGGCAATAAATTGAAATTTATTAATTTGCTGGTGTTCAGGAAGATCTGCTGCTGTTCAATTCTCCCTCGTTACCAGCAGATGAAGCAAAGAAAATCTGTACCTCAGTGAAGGGCTGGTGGAACACCACGTGGCTGAGACATATGTGTTTTTATCCTTATTCATGTATAAAATATCATTATGATTTCTGAGGTCAGTGCATGTGAACTAAGTGACAGACTGATCATTTCCTTGCTACATTAAACCAAGTTTTATGAAAATTCGAGGGGATTTTGCAACAGCAAACAGAGTTTCAGCTTTAAAATTTTTGTATCTAAGTCATGCTTTCCAAAATGTCTTGATTTTGTGTACCTAAACCATCATGGAGATGTCATGTTACATCTTGAGTGTCTCACTGACATGTGCAGCAACAGACCATGATTGCAGAGTTACTGAACCAAAGGGAAGTGGGTTTGAACACATTTATGTTAAACAATGATCCCTCAACTTCTGGGTACTAAAAACTGAAAGGACAAAAGCAAGGAAAGTGGGTGCTTATAAATAATCAACTTTTAACACATTTGTTTCATTTTAAAGCTGTCTGAAGCTTTTTTTCAAGCAGTAGGAAGGGTCAAACACTGGGAAATCAGTTCTGGAAGGTTTGTAAAAGCTCTGTTGTAAACCTGTGGTACTGCTGGGTTCCTACAGGTTACCCAGGAATGCTGACCTGCATCACAGGTCCTGTGGATCCTCTGGATCCCTTTAAAGCCCAGGAATCTTTACAAAGCTGGGACCTGGAGAACTCATGGTCCATTCCAGCAAAGTGCTGAGCTCCCTCAATTCAGAACATTTGCCTCTGAGTTAGGAAGAGGTGTGAGGAGAGCTTTATTAGTATGGCACATATTTAACCCAGAGGAAAACCCACGAATTTCACTCATTTTAAGTGTATTTCACACTTTTTAACTATTTGAAATAACCACATTTGTAAAAACTTCTTTTAATGAATAGACCTCTTTATGTACAAAGGCAAAGCTTTTTTTTCCCCCCCCATAAGTACAGTACTTTTAAAATACTATTTCTTTTGTAGGTCTGGCTGCTCCCATCAGCTGTTCATTTTTGCTGGCTGCTGCAGAACCCTCAAGGACTGAAAACAGGCAATTCAGATTATACTTTATCTTAAAAGGCCACGTATTCATCAGGACTAATAAGACAGATAAGTACTTTGTTATTTAATGCCAACTCCCACAAAGCTGTTGTTCAGCACAAGTGGAGAGGCAGCACAATATCTGGGTGTGAATGATGGGAAGGAGTTACCTGGGTACAAATTCTGGCCCCATTGAACTCAGTGGGGGTTCTGCCATTTGACTTCAACAAAGCAAAGGCTTCACCACATGTTTGAAAGAAATATTTCCCTGGGATTACTGTCTGAATGCTGGTAAATGTGTTGTATTTAAATCTGCCTTTTGACATTTGAATGTTTGTTTACCTTGCAGGCACTTCAAAGTGATTTGATATAAAAACTTTGCATCAATTCCATTTTATTCTGAGTTTGAATTGCTTTATTTTTTTTTGATTTCTTGTGCATTTAGAGGCCTGGGCTGGAAACATGGTAGGGGAGCGTTGGCATATTTTGTATTGCTGTGATTTAAATTGAATTAAAGAAAAACAGAAATTAAAACATTTGCAGTTGTTTATGTAATTAAAAAGTCATATAAAATTGGGCCCAAGCTACCAAGCATATCCTTTACTGAACCTTTTTTGGAAGCAGGCCATAAATGGAGAGACAGGGATGTCACATCTGTCTCAGTGTCAATTTAGAGCAGGTTAAAAACCCTCACACTGTTTGTCTGGGGAAATATCGACCACTTTTACAGGGAATTTGGAAAATATTTCTTTGGGCAGCAGGAAAGGCAGAATCCTGCAGCATGAAAGGCAAAATCCTGCAGCCCAGAGCACAGACACGGGCACAGAGAGGGAACAGACGGGCTGCTGTAAAACAACCTTTTAATAAGGCATTAAAATGCCATCGACCTGGACACATAAAAAAAAAAAAAAAAAGGAGCTATGAAAACAAATGCCTTTCAAATAATTAGGATCTTATGCCTGAGCCCAGTGCTGATCTCCAGGCAGAGATTTTCCTGCTGAAATCAGCCCAGCCTAAGTCTGATCGTCTAAGGACGGAATTAGCAGCGAATAAATCGGCTGGTCCTGCCCTGTGGAACCATCCCCATAAACCACCCCTCCAGCCTTCCCATCTCCTCCTTTCTGGTCCCTAAAGTATCCTGGAATATTCTTGATTTAGGCTGCCAGAGGATTTTTTTAATTGTTATTTAATTATTTAATTGTTAATTTTTTTAAGTGTTATCACGAGCATGGGAAATGGTTGGATTCCTCGTTTTCAACCACACTGGGGGAGTGAGTCTGAGCTGAGATGGGGCCAAAAATAGCTGCAAACCCCAATTCTGGTCTTCACAATGTACTTAAATTACTTTAAGTAATGTACTTAATTTAAATTTAATTTAAAATTAATTTAAATTTAAATTTAATGTATTAATTTAAAGATTTAACAGTAGTTTATGGTGGTAGTTGTGTGTAAAATGCATCAAACGTTGTACAGATTTACCCTTTGATTAAAAAAAAATTCTTCGAGGACAATTTGATCACCTAAAATGGATGAAAATACAGAAATAACTATAATTGATCCTTCATGTCTGTGTGTTCAAGCTTGGGTCACAACTGTTGTGATATTCCCAAATAGAACAGCCTAAAAAAGCTGCACTATTCAAACAATGCATTTGGAAGGATGTGCATCTGAGATTACATAATTAACATGATAAAATAAAATATAAGGCCGTTGCCTGAGGGTTGAGCATCAGATTCTCAGCTTTAAGTTGGAATTTTACAAAAATAGCCTTAAATGGATATTGGCTTTCTTATATAATAAAACCCCTGGTTTGATCTCCATTTTACTGAGCACTAACATCAACAATTTGGAGAAATTAATGTATGTCCCTTCTGTATTCCATCTGGTTTCCTGTTTTGTCCTTAGTCAGCAGTTAGCCCTAAGGCACATGTTAATCCAGCATGTGCCTTTCTCTCAGTAATTGCAGATACTCTTCCACTTTGTATTTTTAATATATAAAATGGTAAGAGCCCTGTGTGTAACACTCAGAGCCATCAGAACAGGAGATCTTTCTCTCGACGCTGTGATTTCACCCATTAATCAGTTTTATACGACGTTCTGCTGGCCTGGCTTTTCAAGGTGTGAGAATTTGCACTGCAGAGGTGATTTTGGAATTTTGGAATAAGATTCTAAAGAGCTGCTCTGGTTATAAAGCTTTGGGCAGGATTTTTAGGTTGCTGTTAAGCCTGTGTTGCTGTTTGGCCACAAGTACATCCCAATTAGTGACCCTTCCATGGAGCAGTAGCAGCAGAGAAGGGATTTTTATTTTTTATTTTTTATTTTTTTTTTAAGTCAGTCGTAAATGATTAGTCCAAAAGAGTAGCATAAAACTTCGAGTTAGTCCCCTGCAGGAGCTGGGGCTGGAGGAAATTAAAGGATCAACAACACAAGGGAAGCACTGAGGCAGGATTGTTCCAGGCTGCAGCCACAGGCTCTCACATGCACTCAGGAAATTGCCTTCATCAAAAGCCGAGGATCCAGGCGTGAGGATGAGGAGGATCAGGCAGGTGATGATTCTAAATCATGGCTGGAGATCCCAACCTTTGCCAAGGGAGACGTTTCCTCCCCGCCTCGAAAAAAAAGCGGCATTTTCTACGTAAAACTCGAATCTTCTCCTTATGTACCTCAGCAGAAGCCTGAGCTGTAAATCTAATGCAGCTTAATAAATGCTGAAGACTCGGTTTCCCCACAATAATGGGGAGTTTTGGGGCTCCAGAGGTGCTGCTCTGTGCCCTGCCTGTGGATTTGTGTGTTTGTGGGTGAGAGCTGTAAAACCACGGCCTCGACAGGGGTTGGCACTCCCAGCTTGTTCTTTAACCTCTTAAGTAAATTATTTCTGCAGAAATTTGCATCTTCTGGGCCTGGGATGGAGCTGCTGGTGGGGCAGGAAAGGATCACGGGAGGGGGAAATGCATAAATCTCCATCTGGAGCTGAGTGTGCTGGGAAGGGGAGATGGGGGAGCAGCAGCAGTGCCAGAGCGGGCTGAGGGAGCGCGGAATTCCCAGGGAAAACGGCAAGAAGGGAAGAGGAATGTCCCAGGAATGAAGCTCTTCTAATGTGCAGTGCTTTCACCGCTGGAAAGCTGCAATGCAAATAAGGAAATTAGACCAAAAATTAACGATATTCAGCTATTCCGATGTCAAAAGGAATAGAGGAGTTATTGGTGTGAGAGGTTATTGCCAGAGGGGAAACCCCAGCGTGGCCTGCGTAATTAAGCTTCACTGGAGAGCATGGATCCCTTCTCCAGGTAAGAAATGCTTTTATAACATGGCATCTTTGCTATTGTAATTAAACACCGAGGGCTATTCTGCATATGAAGTCTTAAACACTTCAGTCCTTTATCATGGGATTTTACTGGCCAGGCATGTGCGTTCCTATGGCAAAAAAGCACCGAGTGCCATAAAAAAAGAAACCCAAACATTGCTTTTTATTGCTTGACTTGCTGTATGTTTTATATATATTGAGCCAAATTCATCCCTTGTGGAGCTCGGTTGAAGCCAATAAGGGGTAGATTTGGCCCATGTCTATATGAGAAAGGTGGTGACAATTAAAATATATTGTTTAATAATGAGAGCTATGGTAGTGGAGTGTCTTTGTGTCTATGAAATTATACACCACGACACCACGTTGGCAGGATGGAGCTGGGACCAGCAAAACTAGTTTCTGATGGAAAGGCAAAAGCACTCTGGCTTTTATTATTATGATTAAATATCACAGAGGCATTTGAACAAGGCTAATTTAGGTAACATCTCCAGAAGTCTCCTTTATTGTGCTGTATTTTACCACAGAGCAAGACATTTAAAAATATTTCTTGAATGTTTTTATATGTGGCTGTCAAGGACAGTACAACTGGCTGCTATTAGCAGTAAGTAAAAGAACAGTTTTGGTTTCATTTATATTTGAGAGACTTTCAGCAATATTACAAAAAGGAATGTACCCTATTAAATGAAATGTGAGGACAGCCTTTCCTATCACTTTATATTGGCAATTCCCAGTTGTTCCCCTGCTCAGGGCATTGTACCAACACCTGAAAGACATTGTTGATACCTTGAAAAGCTGAAGATTTTGCCAGTTTAGGCAACAAAACTCCCAGAACACGGCGAGCCACCGTGTCCACCAGGACAGAGGGGTTGTGGTCACTCACTGGTGAGGTGGGCCATGCACAGCAACTCCTCCTTGTATCCCTGTGCTTGAGTTACAGTGACTTTTACTGGGCTGTCTGCTGCCTTTTATCCTCCTCCTGAATTTCTGGGTAATGGCTGTTCATAGCCAGTAACCATAGCCCTCATTCCAAGCTCTCCATGCTGCCAGGAAGCCCTGGCTCAGCTTTGCTCTGCCTCTGTCCCAAATATTTGGTTGAACACTTTACTGGGCTCTGGGTCACCTTTGTGCCAGGAGGGGAGGTGGGAAGGGGAGAGGAACAACCAGGGAGATTCCCCTTGGACCTTGAGAGCTCAGGAAAAGTCTTTGACCCCAGAGGAATTAGAAAACACATATTTTGTTGACCCAAGAACTGGCTCTTGATGGCCCTTCCCAGGAAGACAAAAACACCTCCCTACTCAGCTTCCAACACAAAAGGTGTCTCTTAAACAAGACTAAAGATATAAAATATCAGGTTTTCTAATGCTACTGGTCTTCTAAGGAGTCTCTGACCCCAAAAAAGGATGGTGGGGAGGGAAAGACAGAAGAACAAAAATCATTTTTGCTGTACTTATTGCTCATTCTGAATCTTTTATAGAAATCTGGCCTTTGACATCGGACTCAAATAATATTTTATTAGGAGAAAGCGTGATTCATTGAAATGGTGCACTTCAGTATCAATGGAGAGGAAAGCTGGGAAGGACACAAAAGAGGCAATGCTGTGGAAAACCAATTCAAGGAACCTTTGCCACACAAAGGATCTCCATCCCCAGCGAGAAACAACAGAAAAGGAACAAAGTATTTCCAAGGAAACATCTGAGCATGGTGCTGGAGCCAAGTGAGGAATTATTACTGTATTAGCCTGTCAGGAAAGGGTCATACAGAATATGTGGTAGGAGAATACCCTGTCATTTGGAAATTAATAGGATTATTTTATTATCAAGACTGGCCCATATACCTGCAAAACTGAACTTAACTGAAGAACTAATAAGAGATCCAGGAGGAAGGGGATGTTTAGTCTGTCTTAAATAGGACAAAAGTTACTTTTCTCCTCTTTTGCACATTTTCAGGCTGTGAGAAGCCTGGCTGTGTTACCCATAGTTCTTTATGAAATAAGAGAAGTGGCTAAAACAAGTGAAGAGGACAACCCAAACCTCTTAACTTGTTTGCCTCTTACCAGTTGCTTTTTCTCCATGGCAAGAAGAGGGCATTTATATTTAATTTTTTTTTTAATTTTCATTTTTTCTCCCTTTCTCACCCTTTTTTTTTTTAACTTTCCAGTTCACCTTTTCCTCATCTCGAGTTCCTGGTTACTGACCTCCTGCTTCCCCTTCTTTTGCAGTTAATAGGATGAAAACCGATTTTCCAGCAATCTAATTAACTACTTCCCAGAGGTGAGTGAATGTTATTTCCATGTTGTGCAGGAGTCATCCCCTGAGGGCTGCATCACTGCTGAGGGAACCAGCATCTGTAAATCCTGAATTTCATGACGTCCTTGGCCTGCAGTTGGAGCTGTTTTCTCACAGCTCAGAG